CTGGCGGGAGAACTTCCCAATGAACTTCAGCCGCTTTTTGAGTGGTTCAAAGACAACTACGTCAGCTGATTTAATTGTAGAAGAAATACAGTGTCCGATGGTGTTCCCATTAGAAATGTGGTCGGCTAATTGTGGGGTGTTCCATACTGAAAACCATACGAATAACCGTGCGGAGGCAGCCCATCAAAGAATTGAATTCGAATAGATAATGTCACATCAATCGGTATGGATGTTAAATGATGAGCTCCGCAAACTGCATAACGGTCGGGAAATATACTATGAATAACTTGTCGCTGATCATCCGCCACCAGTCAATTTGAAAAAATACCGGGACGTGGATGACTGAATAATGTCCACTGTTAATTACTATCATAACAGGAACATTATTACTGTGGAGGTTATTATTATCTCCGTGGGTTAACGCATAACTACGAAATGGCTTCGTAATGTTATATTTTGTTCAAATTTTTTTTGACGAAGAAACTTTATTTTTGCTGCTCATCGAAGTACCGGTAAAATGCAATTAATGAAAAATAGAAGTGTGTGAAAATAGCCTATAAGAACTGCTATGTTAAAGCCACATAAAAATTCAGTATTATGACGAAATTTACGTATTACGATCAGAAACAGACTTTTGTGGATATGGATCACGAAACTATTCATAAAGGAACCATACAGACCTCTGAAAGTTCCATAAATTAAAACTCGCAATTGTTAGCGTTAACGTTACATCATTCTGATTTATTGAACTTGCGTAATGGCAACTGGGAAATCGTCAGACGAAGAAGCAAACTTTAAATTAATATTTATGACGAAAGTTTCATATTATGCACAAAAAGGAGGTTTCAAGCGATGTAAAATGTGACGGATTAAAATAAGTAAATGATGAAGATGACCACCTGAAATTTTATTAACGACAATTTAACATGCGATTAGATAACATAGACCTGACTTAGCGACCTCACACAGTCAGTGGGAAGGAGTGATAAAATGAAAATACTTGATATTTATAGTTAGACAGCGGCATCATACTTCAATTACAGAGAAATGTCAATTGATATGTAACATTATGTGTCAAATCACACAATTGATTAAGCTGGTCATTGCCCATGTATACATATTCAAGGTGACGACTGCAGGACCAGCGGTCAACCTGAAGTTCTGGCTGAGGCCAACCCGCCGTATGCGCCGAAACGTCTCCTTCACCCAGAGTGCTAGTGTATAAAAAATCTGAGTGTAAGCAATGGTCCATATACGTAACCCATACAGTACTGCACAAGAAAACCAGGTTTCGCTGGCGCCCTGCTAGATTTCGTTAGCCATAATCACTTCATATAATTTGTTGAAATGTGCTAACAGGCCGCGACCTCGAAATTAGGCAGTTTCAATGATGGCATCAAGGCTGATTCCAAAAGATATATTTGACGCGTCAGACATCCAGACATAACTTTTGTTTTATTCTCTTTGGTATTTAAGCAAACACTCATTGAATAACATTGATGATGAATCACCCATATCAGTTAAAGGGGGTACAACTTTTACGATTTGCTGTCGAAACACTCATCACCAAGCGTCTGTATCTACCCTCTGATACCCTGAGATAATTTAATTAAGTCGAATTTGGAAGGTCGATGAGCGACTCGACGTTCTAATCCTTGATCGCTTGCGGTGATGTCATAAGCGGTTGATGTTTTGCGTTGCGATCATCTCACAGAAGAAAAAGCTTAAAGTTCATGAGCAGAGTGTTGGTTGACGATGGCGGATTGTTGAACCCACTCTATAACTTGTATTACTTTTGCATCGAGAGAATGTTGCACGCTTGTCTCCCCAACTCAGTAAATAACACTGACAGTTAAAAAACGTTCATTCACTACGGAGCGAATGAAGCGAATGGAATAACGCCCTTTTTAAACTGTTAATTGATTCACACTCTGATAACCCTTTTCGAACAAATTCGTGAGGAAATATTACTTTACTTGACAATGCAATATGGAATGACATGTACACTTTAAAATGTCGAATGCCACAAAACCATTTTTTCGGTTTAACAGAGACACTGCCAAAGTGGAAGAGCCTTGGTTTGTCTTTGATACCTTCGAAAAATGCAGTACTACAATGCTTGATAGTATCTACCTCCTAAGATTTAATTTGCTTCAATAAGCATGCCTTTGACCAGACATACGATGAACAAAACTGCGCCGTGATATATCTCATTAATAGGTCACATGACGAGGACATATGCAGACGATTAGAAGTGCATCGAATAAGCTGCGCGAGCAACCTCACGTGAACCAAACGAAACGATGGGAGATACCGCAGATTCCCGGAAACAATGGAACCATAGCCTGCTCAAGAGACAACTAGGAACAATGAGTCGGTGCAAAACGCCATGAAACTCAGTTCTGAAGGAGTAAAGCGCATTTAGGCCTGCCTTATTTCCTGTGTGGATTTTCACCAGATATCATGTAGATGAAAGCGAATTGGAACCACCGTAAGGAGAATATAACTTACAACATGGAAGTTTGTTCGTTTAACTCGCAAGTTCTCGCATGATAACACTAGTCCTCGATGAGTTTCCACCTGTTTCAATGGGCTGATTGCACTGAAGCACAGAGGAAGAATGCTTGCTGAAATAGCTTAGCACTTAATAAGAAACAATTTATGAAACAGCGAAATCTGAACCGGGCACTTCTAAGATACAAAGCAAAAATGCAACCCACTACATCCTATTATCATAAACATAGCATTTTGGTTCGGTTTTTGCTTAACTAAGCTCAAATGACACTGAGTGTGGCGACCGACAACGGAACAAAAGGACCAACCCACAGACACGTGGTACATAATAAATGGCAATCTGACGACCGTATAAACGGGTGCGGCTGAAAATACAATGGCAGCAATGCGACATGTCGGGCGCATGATAACATTAAATAAGCATACAAACCGGAAAAATCCGCAATTAATCCAAAGCCCGCCCAAAACGGGCCATTAATGCTGCGTTTCCATTCCACGTCACGTTAACAGAGCTGCAAATTTTTGATATCTAATCGACATTTGGGTAATAGGTTTCACCGTATGATGACTGAATGCTCGCAGAATCTTCACCGAGTTGAATTATAGGGCAGCGATTGTCTTACTGGTTATGCCGCTTGATAGATCGACTACTTCAGTTCTGTTCATAGTCTTGTCTGCAGCTTTAGTTATTTGCTGTGCTATGACTTTTATACGTTTGTTTATAAAATTGAGTAAATTTAAATTTTCGTTTACTTTACGCATGCTAAATATTAGAATATTTTACGATGTTGTTGAAGCAGTAAATTTAAGTTTGCAGTGAAGTTTAGACTTAACCATTGAGCGAATAATCTATATATATGGAAAATTTTTTCCGGCTCTGATTTTCACTCAATTTAGTATATATAACATTTTGTGAAATCTTCAATTTAGCACAGAAAAGCACTACCATACTATCCACCGAAAACGAATGCATTGCACGGATTTTACAGAAGATGAAACTGAAAACAACATACCTTGGCAACCGATGTCTCGGACAAGGGACGATACGGAACAGCTGAGGCAGCGAGTACAAAAAGTTTAATATTTGGGGAATAAAAAACAAAAGCAATGTCTTGCTGAAATGGCCCAATATGCCAACAACGGCGAATGTCATACCGGAGAAATAGCAGAACGTATCTCCGACAAATACCCGCGCAGGGTACCTAAATGATTAGTGAAATAGACCTCTACCGAAACGACTTTATGTAAAACGCACCAAGACCACTGCAAGATAACTGCCGTCGTCATCATGTACGGAATCAAAATGCATAAAC